CCTAGGGTGTTTTTATTGATGCCTGTTAGATAATCCTTTTAACCATTGTGTTCCTTGATCATAATTTTTATTATGTTCTTTACAATTAAGCATACCGATCCAGTTGCTAATGATAATTCTTACTTTGTCTACTTTTCCCTCTCTTTGTCTCTGTCTCTTTCTCTCTTTCTAGTCTTTGCAGTTGTGCTATACCGGTCATCTGTATTGGTCTATATTCTAGATTTCCATCGTCAAAGTGCTTGAAAGACATCTAGTTAATGCTAGTGATTAATTCCCAAAAGGTAGTCTGTACTCTCTCCTATTTCTTGCTGTAGCTTGCCTCTATTTTACGGTTTGGTTTTTTTTTTGTGTGTGTGTGTGCGGTGATTTTGTTTTTTTAGTTTAATTACTTTCTTACTTTAGGGTGGGGATGTGGTTTTTTATAAGCCAAATTGTTTCTCTAGTGAGGCAGGTGAATGCAGTCACTTCCGTAGTCACAGGCATCAGGGACTGCCAGGCATCCCCAGGCAGGATGGCAGCAAATCTCTTGTAAATTCGATGTTAGCCCCTGCAGATTTGTACCATTTATTTCTGGCCCGTGATCAGCCTTGTGCAGACTTTGGCTGACCTTTGTCTCACAGAAGTTACTATAGGATTAATTTTTAAAGCTTCCATGTTTACTTAAAATGTTCTGTTAGAGTGGCTGGTGCACAGCCCTGGATTAATATCTGCTGGTTCCTCAGGTGAATCCACTGACAAGTCTCCCACTGAAATGAGACTTTGTGGGTTCGGGTCTTCTTTCTGACCTCTTTACATGAGCAAAGAAATGCTCTCATTGCCACCACCAGCAGCTCTGGCCGAGCACTGAAAGTCTGCTCTGGCTGTGGGTGACTCCTCTGGGCAGAGGCAAGGTGAGTTAGAGGTTCCTCGCTGCCTGTGCATGGAAATTTTACCCTGAAGGCCACTAAAAGCTCTAGCAAAGAGGGGGAAGGCCACTAAAAGCTCTAGCAAAGAGGGGGATAAGATGGCCCACCTTGGCCTGGCTGTGGGTGGCGCAGGTGAAAAGCCACAGTAATGGAATTTGCTGGGTAACATTAACAGACCTGTTGGTCCAGAGCAGCATATGGGTATGGGGAAATCAGTGTTGCCTTACCTTCTCTGACAGTGTGTCTCCCCACCAAGTTAGGTTCAAACTGCCCTGCCTGTAATACCCAAATTATAGGATGAGATAGAAAAAAATTAATAGCTCTGAAGTATTAATAGCAGCTACTTGAAAATAAAGTGAGAAAAAAAGAGAAGTTTTTTTTTTAAAAAAAATTCATCTTAGATCTGCAAGTAGTACAAGGATGACACTGATTGATGTACTCTTTCTAGGAAATTATTCTTGACAGAAAGAGATACCTCTGTGCTGCAGGCATCATTTTCCCTTTCTCAGAAAACAGGGAATAAGATCTATACAGTTGGCTGTTAGATAGCATGGTGTCAAGTGATGCAAAAGCACTGATTACCGACACGGAGCTGGACTGGACTGCTTAGCTTCTGGCCTAATTCTTTTCCCAGTCACTGACTGCAGTGGGAAATAATTATTCTGGTCACTGCTTTTGAAAGCTAAGCACAATTTTTTCCATTCTGATATGGCAGTTGGTTAAATCCAGGCAATAGGGAGCTGTATAATGAAAGCAGTGACATTGTTCTACCTACCCAGCAGTTGTGTAGCCTGTACGTTTAGCAGTGTGAAGAGCAGTTTTTGGGAGGAATGATAGGTTGGCTATTGAGCTACTATAAGGAAACCTCCCTAAATAAGATTTATGTTCAGTTTTCTCTCAGTGCAACTTCTGATGAGGAAGGGATGGAAAAATGTCATTACAGAGAGGAAAACTATTATGGCTAAAAATAAAGAGATATTAAAGTGCTAATAAAGCATACAGATGGCACTTAAAGCCTTTTACTTTAATTAGGAAACCGATATGCCTCGACTTGTCCCAGAAGAAAGTTTAATTCGGGTCCTGAATTTGGCAAAGAACCCTGTTCAAGTGACAATCCAAGGCTGGGACCTATTTCAGCAGCCCGTGGAGGCTTTTCAGGTAAGCACATATGTGGGGCTGGAAGGCCTGACTTGCGTCCCATTGAAGAAAGGGTGGGCTTTTTTTCAGGCATTTTTTAATAAAGCCCACAGATGCTAGAGCTTGTTCTCCTCTACCGCCTTAGAAGTGCATGGAACTAGCTTTAAAAATGGAACGTATTATCTCTGTTGATGAGACAGAAATGGAAAGTTTGGAGACATATTTCCATGGCAAAGGAGGAAATGGCTAACAACATTCACCTGTAATTAGGAGTAAAGGATAGTTGTCCTGAGATGAGCATGTAGAGACATTCAGCTCACATCTCTCAGTGCTCAGCTTCTGGGATCTGGATGGCATCTGGAAAGTATTTACCTGCAAAGGAAGAAAGAAATAGGAAGGCAGTTAACTGGGTTGTTTCCTATTTCAGCTTCCAGATTACTTTACAGGTCAGGCTAGTTTGGGACTCAGCCCAGCAGTCCATTGGCCACCAGCAGCCTGCCATGTTTTAGATGTGGTCCTATCGGGGCAGAGCAGGGCCAGGAAAAAGGGTAGCTGTGTGGGTGGGAGGTGTTCCCTGACCTTTGGATTGCATCTAGCAAGAGAAGGTATTCCAAGCTCTGGCTTGACCAGCCCAAAGCATATAGGTCAACATAGGCCCTTTGCTGTAGAAGACAGCTCTGACTGTTAACCTCTCTTTACAGGCTCCCGTGAAGAGAGGATAGGGTTGTACTTGGTGGGAAGAGCCAGATCCTTTCTCATCTGAAGAAAGTGTAACCAAGTTTGTTTTTTCCACAGAACCCAGCTGAGTACTCAAAATTAATATTGAATGGAGAGCAACAGAGCCTTCGCTTCACCCTGCAACGTCAAGGATTGTCTCTTGCTTTTAACTACACCGTGAAGGAAAAATCAGTATACAGCTTAATTGTTTTTGAGGCAGAAGAAAGCCTATCAAGCCGCTTAGTGAGTGTGGGAGTGAAGTGTAAATACAGTATTAATTCAATGGCTGTGTTGATACAATGGGGTAATAGGCTCATTAATTCATTTGCTCAGTTACAATGTCTGTTTGATTGCTCTCAGATGCTCTAAACCTGACTTCTTAGCTAGCAGCACTGGATCTGTACGCATTTCTGCTGGTTGATTAATAGAGGCGTTACGGCATCTGAGAGTTTCTGGGCACACTTTAATCCAGTGAATGCTGCAGTGGGAGAGCAGAGTCATGCCTGCTAGGCAGCAGAGCTTGAGAAAGCTGAGGAAACAGAGCGCTAGAGATTTTCCCCCAAAGATGGTTCTATAAAGCAAAGATCTTAAAGAGGCTCTAGGGCTGGGCGTGGAATAAAAGCATCAGAGGAATGATTCTGGGTTTAGTTATTGCAAGTGTTTAGTGAAAATGCACAGAAGGCCCATTTGTTTTGCTGAACAGAATAAATGATTAAGCTCATTTCAGGCTCTGCAGCAGAGCCAGCTGCATTTGGACTTTTGTGTATTGCTGCAACAATCAGAGAGAGGCATATGGGATGTATAGGGCCAGATTCTGGTATCTTTTACGTGTAGCTGTATCCTAAGAAGCCCTCTTGAAATGAATGGTGTTATTGCACATTGTGGCAGGTGTGTAAACGTCATCAGAATCTGTCCTCATGCTAAAATATCAATTCTCTTTGCAGTTCCTCAGCCTCCTACCTTGCAGGGTTGCCACATCAAGCAATCAATATTGTATAGTGGAAATCACATGAGGAGTTTTAAGAATTTTTTTTTTCCTAACATTGATGGTTTTTGCTGCTTATGTTTTAGAGCCTGGGGCTCATTATCACACAATGTTGATAAGTTCCCCTGTGACCCTGATGACTGTGTGCTGTTACCTTAAGAAATGGACACTCGTACAGTGATTTTCATACAGTTCTTAAGAAGTGAAAGCCTGTGACAGGCTGGAGCAAAGCAATCTCTAAGCTTCAGTACGTCTCTGTGCTGCCCTAGCTGTCTAGCCTGTGCTTAAATTAATGCCCACCCTGGCACGGGCAGGCTCCCATGCGCTGGGGAACAGCCGTGCTGTTGGGTGATGCTATTGACCTGTCATTCTCAGCTGTAGATAAGGGAGGTGTGGAAGACAGTGTGGTACATGATACTCACTTTTCCAGCATTGCAACGCAAGGAAGGAAATGCCACCATCACTGCTGTGTGGCAGGGCTTGCCCTGGAGTAGCCATGGCCCACACCAGCCTCCCTCACTGCTGTGTTTGGCCCCCTCACTCAGGTGGGGATGCATTCCTGGAAGGATCCAGTCTGAAATTAGTTTCTTCTCCTTTATGGGCTGTTGAGTAGGCAGGAAATGAATTTGAGAGCTCTGGGGATCATTGATGAAAGCGAGTAATAATTTGGCTGGCCTGTCTGCAATGAACTAGAGTGTTAATCCCCATGTGTCTCCCATCGAAAAAAATGATGATGTTGTTTATTATTTATTGCTCTGACATTTATTATTCACTGTGGCTATTTATTATTTAGGGCATACTTTATTTGTGGGTCAGCACATCACACTGAAGTACAATAGACATTTTATAGGTATACTATAAAAATTCTGGATCCTTGGTCTCAGAAGCTCAGGGTTTAACATCAGGAAGAAAGTGTGGAGAAAGGGCTAGAAAATTTTAAGAGAAAGCCAGTTTCTGAAAGTAGATTCAGTCCCTTTTGGCTTGCCTGGGTTCTGTCTGTGGGCAGAACATTGAAATTGCCCTGCCAGCTTAAGTGGATGTGGCACAACTGTGGATTTCTACCAGCCAAGAACCTTGCTCTGTATTCTTTTTGTGTGACGTACTATCTTCAGGGCAGGGCTGTGTCTTTACTGTCTTTTTTCAGCATTGTACACCAAACAGGCTCTGCTCGAATGAATGTAGATCATGTTAACTATTGAGCTGATGCTCTAGCTGTGATCTCCAGGAGAGGCACTTTCACTCCCCAGTGTGCCCAACCAGGTGGCCATTTCAGGGATGTGTCTGCAGAGACTGTCAGCGCAAACAAGCTCAGTGCATCTTGGTCTCTCCTGCTGTCTGCCTGCACCATACAAGAGTTTAATCTCTTCAGTATTGAGGGTCAGGGAAAGTATGAGTGATACATAATGATCAGAATCATAACCTAGCGGTTACTCTTGGCTTTAGGCTTCTGTGAAGTCTACAAGTATGCCAAGAATCAAGGTCTGAAAGTTAGGCAGTTGCAGGTTTTGTAGGAATAAGGCACTCATGTTTAATTGTAACTAATCATTGAAAGAGGCTAACGTGGATAATGCTCTCTTGCTCTCGTCAGATCAAGGCAAATACTTTTTTGGGGGGTGTTACATACCTCAGTAGAAGGGTGACTGGCTGAAACTCTGTAGCCTTTTTTACACAGGAGATGAGGAAAAAAAGGTGTGATCTCATCTTAAGCCCTTGGTGGAGCTGAAATTTTGCCATTGACTTCATTGTACCAGGACTTCACTTCTGTGTCCTGATGTAAAGCTTATGTGAGAGTCCGTTAGATTTCCATGGGCTTTGCAACACATGTATAACTCCACAGACACTAGTATTTTCTGCTACACGTTGTTATAAGGCAGCATTAATAAATATGTTTGATTTTTTTTTTTTTCTTCCCCTTTTTAGATTACAGACTTGGAAGCAAAGCCAGAAAACGGTTTGGCAGCTGTTAGGTAGGAATGGCTTTTTTTGAGGATTTGGAGGTGGTGGGGTGAGGGAAACTGCTTTTGTCTAATGCAAACTGTATGTAACATAACCCAGATGTTCTTAGGTTGGAATCTAGTCCACACTTCTCATGCAAGACTCAGGTGTCAGCTGCGGAGGCTTGACAGCATGTCACCTCCCACGCTCGCCATGCAGAGCTGAGCATTATTGCTGCTTACTGCCTAGGATAGTCTGGGCTGAGATGGCAACATAAAAGATCTCCTCCCTTGGAAGAGTGGTAAATTCATGTCACTGTGTCCCACCTTTTTGGGAAAGAAAGGGAAGAAGCAATCTGGAAAGGAGCCGTTGCCATTTGTCCTCTGCGAACTGGCCAACCCATGACGTTCATTTATCTCACCCAACCTCATGCACAAATGCCTACTAAATTGGATACAGCAACAATTTTGCATCTGAATTTACATCCTTGTAAACAATTCAGCTAGGCATTGGGCTCTGCTTAAACAGCTAGTCTACTTTCCTAATTTGAGCTAGTCCATGAACAGTCTTGTGCCAGTCTGTGCCGAGATGCCATCTCGCTGAGGTCACAGTTACCTCCAGCACCACATCACCAGACCTATGTGAGGCTGCTGACATGCAGAAGAAGCAGATTTACAAAAAAAAAAAAAAAAAAAAAAAAGAGGATTCTAGCTGGACTTTCTGAAGGATTTGGGCAAGCTGCAATTTAGGAAAAAAACAAACAAAAAACACCCCCACCCCCCTCCCAAAAAAACCCCCAAAACCAACCAAACAAAAAAACCCTCAAAAACTTTAGATACCATAAAACAATGTCCAATCCCTTATCCAAAAGCCTGTGTTGACAGAGCAGGAGAGCAGTATCTCTTCATAGCCCTGTGCTTCTGAAGGCTTCTACTGACTAAACACCATCTTGGAGACTTGATTAACACCTGCAGTCAGAATGTTTTATATTTTCCTGTGAACATTTTTGACAAAATCCCAACACTTTCCCTTCAACAATTTGTGAAGAAGTTTCACTAGGAAGAAACTATTTTTCCACTAAAAAGTTACTTTTGTTAAGCACTTGACTATATTCAGGGGTTTCACCCCCATTTTAAGAACTGAAAACCAAAATATTTTAAAACATAGTCAGATCAAATGAAAAGTGTTTGGTTTTGCTAACAATTTTTGAGTTGTCAAAAGGAAACTGTCTTTTGTGTATGAAAAAGCATATAATCACTGGGTGAAAAAAACCCAAACCTGAACATTCCAATGAAAGTTTTGGTTTTGATGAAAATATCTTATTTTGCTAGAAAACCCTTTCCCACTGGTAGAAACTCCTTGGAAAGTATGCCAGCGTGGTGCACACGCTTATCAGGACACCCAACTTTACAGTTTCCTGAAGTGGGCTGGGGCTCTGTCCTCTCAAACAGCCACGGAACAATCTTTGAAGGTCTCTGAGAAAAGATTGCCTGGAAGTCCTAACCCACAAAAAGTGAGGGTCACTTTTCACAGGAGAGAGAATAAGAGGGTAAAATTACACAGCAGGGAAAACTTAATCTTATATTGAAAAACTGGGCATCGAATCAGGCAATTATTCTGGTAGCTTGCAGGAGAGGCTGTCATAACCTTATGGAGTTACAGAATGCCTTGGGAGAGAGAGCGCACTTCTGAAGTGTCTGATATTATGCTTCTCCTGCCCTGTCTGACAACCCAATGAAATATGCCTTCTTTGCAGATTCATTAATGGTTTGAGCCAAGATGTCAACCTCACCATTGACAGCAAACGGTTCATTGCTATTCAGAAAAACTACAGCGCTTCTGAGTACTCGCTGCTAAAGAGGGACGAGTAAGTTTTCCTTGCTGTGCTGAAGGCCCTTGCTAAGGCCTTTCCTTGGATACAATGGGGCTTTTCTTAGGCGAATAGCAAAACCTTCATTGCTATTGTCTTGGCATTTGGTTGTGGGGGCAGATGTTTGTAAAAAAGCAGAATTATCGGCTCTGCACAGAGCAGGTGCTCCGGTCCACTCGTGCAGAAGCATCTCACATTTAGTCGGCAAAGTGTCCAAGCCAAAGCACAGCAAATCAGTATCTCTGTGTGTAATATGCAGTTGAATAGATTCAGCCTCCAAACAGTGTCTGGGATAGCTCCCTTCCCATGGCTGTCATTGCTTTGGTAAGATAAAATCAGTAGGGACAAAGCTTGGAAAATTTATTCTCATGACATGAGTATAATGACATCCTAATTTACGCTATAATCTGAGTTTTCTCAGAGTCAGCTCAGGGGAGTTTTGGAAATGCAAAAAGCCTTTTGAAGAAGTCCAGATACAGCACTTAACTTTCTCTGAGTTTTTATTTACATTATGTGGGTGCCTGGAGGAAAGAGACTGGCCATTCCTGTGCATCTGTCAGCAGAGTAGGTGGGACATAGTGAAGTCCCCTCTGCCATTTGATGCCTGCTCTATTTTGATATTTTCTCAGGCCCAAGCTCTTAATGTTAGGGTGCTCTCAGGGAAAGGCCAATTCATACTCCACACTACAAAGTGTTAGTATGTAGGCTGGTAACATCAAGTAACACTACATGGCTTTGCAGGCTGGGCTTGTTAGACAGGGGCTCCATATGGCCTTGGTTTGGCAGCATAGGAGTTGGCTCTTGTAGGGTATTTCTGGCGTTTGCAAGGTTTCAAAACAAGCTTCATGGCTTTTCTCTGCATCAGCTCCATCCAAAATATTTATTGCTGCAATTTAGTAAGATGCAGCAGCCATTGTGGCAATGCTGCTGAGCCTCTGTGCCATCTCACACATCCAAAATCAGAAGAACACATATGAAGGCTAATTTGCTCTACTGAAAGGAAGCAAAGTGGCTTGTGGGTGCATATCTCTGATTTCCTGAAGGCTGCTTGAGCCTGGCTAACTTCTCTGGCCCACAATTTCTGAAGGAGTGGAGAAAAGTTTGGAAGGAAAATAAACCTGGGGGGGGCAGGAAATCAGTGCTAGGAAGAAGCAGAAACCATTTAAAAATGTTAGCAATACCCCAGGTCATTAGGTGAACTCCAGTCAGTGCCTAAGTATTTCTGGAAGGAAAAGATGGCAAGAACTCTAGTGATCATCTGACTTAAACATTACTGCAGCTTTACATCATACATCCTCCCTATTCCCATTGTAGGGGCATGTTTGATAGCTCTGCTCCGTGCTCTTTGTCTGTGGGACTAACTGAGAAATACTGTACTTCATCATTGTATCTAGGTATAATAATGGAAAATGCATAACTGAAATGGGAGAATTCACCCTGGAGCTGGGGCTGCTTGACTTCGGTGCATCATACACTATTGTGATAACCAATGTAAGTGTCCCTGTGATGGTAGTAAGCTCCTTCTGTTCTAGTCTCTGGCAATGCTTTTGTTCTTATGTTTGTGACTCTCACTTGCTTTCTCTACCCACGAGACCTGGGCAGTAACCATCTGAAGGCAGTCCATTATACAAGGGCTAGTAAAAGGTTTTCGCACCTACATAAGCAAGGTGAGTGGGTACTCTTTGCACCTTACACTGTGATCTTCTCAGATCTCATGGGTTAAAGAAGAAGTAAGAACTTTTCTGTGATGGAAATTCTCCGTAGAAAATCATGTGATCCATGGTTTGTGCTGGTCTCATGCCATCCTTGTTCAGTTAACATTGACCCAGCGCACTGCAGAGAGCAATTAGTCTGCCAAGAGCTGACTCTGCTTATGGTCTTTAAAATACTGTGCCTGGTGGTACGTCACACCTGAAAAACTCTGCAGAAACAGTCTGCTGTATCCTCACATTTAACTTGCTGATCTTCCAAGACTTGTGGATTATGCATGGGGGGAAGAGGGACAAAGTGTTGAGGGAGGAGGTTAATGAGATTGTGCATCTGTTTTTCCTCCTCTCACTGTCTGCACAGCTCATTTGGAGCCTAGTGTAAAGTCAAGGCATGGAGTTCTGAACAACCTAGCCCTGTTGGGGCGTGAGCACTGCTGAGAAGGTGGATTCCTTTCCCTGCCTGCCAGCCTCTTAGGCATACTGCTCCAACCCTGGTCCAGCTAGCAGGAGCCACGGAGATGAATGTGATCAGCTTAGTTCCCATTTTAACCTTTCCACTGCACAGGCACACAGACAAACTGGGTCTGACAGGACACACTGCTAAGCTGCCCTCTGAGACTTTGACTACTGTGTTGTGATGAGCAGAGCAAAGTGCTGTCAGCTACTCCCTGGCAGTAACATCTCCCTGTTGGGCAATTAATAGGAGCTGTTCACGTCTGCAGAGTCCAAATACGTACGGGGGAAAATATAGCTGCAAAGCACCTGGCATTTTTTTTTTAACTCCAGTAGCTGAAGTGGGATGCACAGTCCTGGAGGGAACAGACAGATGCTGCCATCTGTAAGTGCATAGATTTATGTACATAAAACACATACACACTTGAAGTGATGTTGACCAGACTCTTCATCCATGGCTGCAAGCCTCTTTCACCAGATGAGAAACCAAGTAGAGAAGCTGCATGAAGAATATTACACTAAGAATACTGCCCCAGAGCCTCTGGTAACACAACTGAGTCAGGGCCAGTTGAGGTAGATGTGTCCCACGTCACTGTGGGCAAGGATTCCAGTTTGTGGTCCCATCTACAAAAGTCGCTGCTGTAGCCATGTCTGCTCAGGGGTGGCTCTGTGCCTCAACCCTTCAGCGCTTCTGGACCCTGTGCTAGTCCTTTAATCTTTTTGACCCTGTTTTTCCATCTCTCTCCCTGTGGTTTCCTCCTTCTGTAGAGAATTAGTTTGCTCCAGGCCAAGATAATTTTTAATTATTGCAGTGATTTGTACTGAGCCCTGCTCCTCTGCCAGGAGTGCTATATAGAAGAACCAAGAATGCTATATATTAGTCTGCTAATGTGACTGAACTGTGATACTTAAATCATGGGGATGCTGCCTTCTACCCAGCCTTCCTCAGTGTGCAGTTACAGTATGGTGCTTGCATTTCGTTATGGGCTAAAGAGCAATGCACAGCTCTCCTCTCACCCCTTTTAGCCTGCTAAAATACAGTCTCTTCACTTGCGTCCCTGCACGGTGATTAAGTACATCTTGTAAACACCCCTTGTATTTTCCCAAGTACTCTCCTTAAACACAGGGGTTTCTGCCTGAAGTCATTTCAGCCTAGTGTTTTCCTGGCTAAATCTCTCTCTGCCTCTGCGCCTCTGTGCACCACAGGCAGTACTAATTACACCTGGGAAAGCAAACAAAAAGAATGAGGAATACAGCTACCATAACTATCTGAATGCATCTGATACAGGGCAGTCTCTGCTACGCTTGGTGTTCTTGAACTGGATTTGTCTGGGTGTCACCATTATAGTGGGGGAGTTGTACAGTGCCAATGAAATGGGAGCAGTGGCCACACAGCTGCAATGAGCATTTATCCTCTTGTCCTCTTCTGGCCCTGGCGACAGCAGCAGGTCACAGGCTGTGCACAAGTACCACACAGGCTTTTCCCAACCCCACTACAGAAGGCAACTTTTTGGTTTGCAATAACTCATGCAACTCTTGCAGCACATGAATGAGCTGGGATGCTTCCAACCTGCCACCTCTGCCCTGTGCAGTAGGAGTCAGCCCGTTCCCAACAGGCTTGGAAATGGCAGGGGTCAGACCCAGAGTTTTGCTTCCAGGGCAGAGCTTTGCTTCCACCTTTAATTAAAACTTCATTTTGATAAAGTTGCTGTTGGAGTCCAGGCTAAGAAGGATCTGATCTTTGAGCAGCTAATCAGTGTGCCTTTATTTTCCTGCTAGGTTTCTGGAGGTGCTGTTAAGACATGGAAGTCAGAAGACATCAAAGCCAACAATGTCCATATGGCTTGGCAGTTACCGCAATACTTATTAATATCTGCTGCGGAGGTGATGTTCTCCGTTACAGGTCTGGCCTTCTCCTATTCCCAGGTACTCCACTTAAAGATTAGACTTTAGATTAGGCTTACAATTAGACTTCAGGATTTGTTCCTGCATCTGCCATTGACTTGTTATACATCCTTTGGCATGACACTTACTGACAATGTTATCTGTGGTTCAGCTAAAAGTGGGATTATTACACAGCTTGCTGGGTGCCTTCAAGCTAAATTAATTCATACTCTGAAGATAACTGTTCTCAATTACACTCAGGAAACTCCTTTTCTGGTAAACTTGGGAACATAGAACAGAACTGGATAGAAGTTTATTTTAATGTGAAAGCTCTGAATACTGTAATATCGGGTTTTTCTCCCAGTAAAATATTTTGTGGTACGTATTTTCCAGTGATAAAAAGGCAAAGGTAACTCAAGGACTACAGGGTCACATGGGGGCTTGGAACCTGCTTTAAGATGAGAGGCTGAAGGGATCTAAGCCTACATGAGTCTGTAACAAGGGAGCAAGGGGTAATGAGTGTGCAAGGGATGATTTGATTGTTGCCTGAGACATTACAAGATCAAAAAGCTGAAGCTACTCAAATTTATCCTGGGAGTAAAGTGCAGATGTTTATTAACGAGGGCAATTAATACAGTGGGACCATCTGCCATGGGATGTGGAAAAT